AATACATTTTAAATAGAAGAGCTATTATAACTTGCACAGTATCTGCCCAACAGAAGACCAGCCAAATGAGCACAAATGAAAGAGTAACTTATGAGACCCTATTCCCTACTGAAGAGTTATTGACTAAAGATAAACACTTGGGAAAGAGTGACAATTACTCTTACGGTGTTACTAGCTCTTACTAATCTGCATGCTTCTATGCCCAGTAACATATAAGCAACACTAAATTGATAATGTACTGTGATTCTTTCTTTTAGACTGTTTTTAATCTGTAATTCAAATTTGTTTAAAAAGCTGCATTCAGGCCACAAATTTTGGAATGCTAGGGCTTCAGGGGTAGATTCAAGATCAATTAATGGCTTGAGTTGAGGGTGGATCTATTCAAAATGCCTTGTCTTAAAATGAAAAATGTTTATAAGTTAAACAAATTAAAGCATAATAAGATAAAACAAGTACCATTGCACAGAAGCTAAAGAAAGCAAACCCACCCACAGAAGGAAAAAGGCCCCAAAGAAATGGGCTAGAATCAAAGAATCACTTGTTCACAAACTCCAGAGTCCCATAAAATTATTAAACCGAAAGACACAGTATATATGGGCATTGACAAGATATACACAACGGACTTAGTGCAGACACATGCTGACCCTGATTTTGCTGCTTTAGACTCTGTGAGCTCATATGAGCTTTGCTTAGTTGGTTTAGAGGATGTCATTCTCCTGGTGCCCTGAAAATCCTCTGGCTTTTACACTATTTCCATTTCCTTCCTACAGAGCTTCCCTGAGCTCTGAGGGGGAAATTGGATTGAGATATCTCATTTAGAGCTGTGTATTCCAAGGTCTCTCTCATCTCTCTCTCCTCTCATTCTCTGCCTTTGTCTCTGTTTCTCTCTTTCCATGCGTCCACAGTTCACTCATGAAATCTATTCCATTGTGTTTTAACCTCCAAGAGAGATTCATGTGTCCCTTCTAGTCAATTCCTCTAAACCTGACTTGTATGATAAATTGTAATTTGTTTGTAATTTACTTCAATGCTAATCACCATATATAAGTGGATACACACACACACACACACACACACACAATATTTATCTTTCACTTAGGATTATTTCTATCAGGGCTATTTTTTTTTCTAGTACTATCTCTTTTCCTGTAAATTGCATGATATCCCTTTTTTAAAGAGCTGAGTAATACTCCAATGTGTAAATATATCACATTTTCTTTATACATTCTTCTGTTGTTTGATATCTAGGTTGTTTATAGTTTCTGGGCTATTATGAAAAGAAACAATGAACATGGCTGAGCAAGTGTCCTTTTGGTAGGATTAATTGCCCTTTGACTATATGTACAAAAGTGGTATATCTGTATCTTTTGGAAGATTGATTCGCAACTTTCTGAGAAATCACCATATTGATTTCCAAAGTGGTTGTCCAAGTTTGCATTCCCATCATAAATGGAGGAATCTTCCCCTTGTTTAACATGCTCACCAGTATGAGATATAACTTGTGTTGTTAATCTTAGCCATTCTAACCAGGGTACAATAAAATGTCAAAATAGTTATAATTTGCATTTCCCTGTTGGCTGAGGATGTTAAAAATTTAAGTATTTCTTAGCCACTTCAGTTTCTTCTATTGACAATTCTCTCTTTAGATCTGTGTCCCATTTTTCAATTGGATTCCTTGGCTTTTTGATATGAAGTTTTTTGAGATGTTTATGTATCTTGGATTTTAGTCCTCTATTGGATGTGGAAGTGGAATTGAAGAGATTGAGAGTGGAAGAAAATAAGGAGTAGTGTGTCAAGAGTAAGGTTTTTTCTCCCACTTCTGGTCTTGTCCCACCACCATGCCAGCCCCAAATAATGCACAGAGACTCTGTATTTGATATAATGCTGTTAGCCAGGTACTAGTTTCTTATCGGCTAGCTCTGTCTTAATTATTAACCAATTTCTATTAATCTAAGTATTTCCACGTGTTCTCATCTTACCAGAGAGCCAGCTGTCATCCTGCTCTCTCCAGACTCTCCATGTTGACTCCTCCTTCCTACTTCCTCTTTCCTCCTTGTCTCCTAGTCCCTCCTCTCTTCCTTTCCTATTGGCCACCAGTACTTTATTCATTGCCCAGTATGAGAAACATATTTACAGAATGACATCTCCCATCATCTCCTCTTTTTTGTCTAAAATAAAAAGAAGGGTTTTAACCTTAACATAGCAAAATGTATCACACAACAGTTATCAAATAAGAATCACAGTTAACAATATTTAGTCCATTAACATTTAGCAAGATTTGAAGAAAATATTCCATCATATATCCTATCTTTGTGTGTCTAAAGTCTATGTAACTTATCTTTAATCCTAACTAAGGAAAAATATAACCATAACTATTTGTCTTCAACTTCCTTCCACAGAAGCATAGTATATAAACTCTAGAAATGACAGAGACATCTTGCCTGGTCAGTCAACAGAAGTTCTTCTGTAATCTTCCATCTTCAGCCCATAGGCCATAGTGTGTCTGGCAGATTCTTCAGCAAAGCAGGAAACTTAAAACTGTCTTCTTATATTGGCAGTTTGTCAGTGGTGAATATCCACATGCAGACTGTCTGTTTCCCTGGCAGGATTGACCTTTGGGTTAACAGGGATTCCCGCTGAAATTCCTAGCTGGGATGAAGCATGGAGTGGGGAAGGGAGATGAGTAGAGGAGGATGAGTGGGATCCTTAGGAGATGAGCTTAAGGCAGAAAGAAAGGCTGCAGCAGATGCTGTGTTGCAGAGCTGTGGGTGAAAATAAAGGGTTGTGTCTGGAGGAGCAGAGGGAATGTTTTCTGGCAGAAATCAAAGATAATTTTTTGTAATGTCCCTAAGATGATGGAAGTAGACCCTTTAAATGGGCACACATTGGGCACATCTAGGATTAAAACAAGAAGCTAGTATCTGGTTGACAAAAGGCAGCTAGTTACCTGTAACTTTTGACAAAGATGCTTGTGTGAGTTCAATACCTGATATTGTAAGATAGTTCTAGTGAGATTATTTTAAATAAAAGCTACAAAAATACAAAGAAAATTTCTGGTATCCTAGACATTCAATATACTTTGTTTACTTAACGATATTCAACTTGCTTATTAAAGTTTTAAGTTATTATAGCAGATACATTTGATTTTTTTCCTTAGGAACTATACATTTTGCTGGTGTTGACCACTTCAACAAAAATATGGAGTGATGTAAGAATTTGTACGGTATCCTTGCACAGGGACCATGCAAAATTTCTCTGATTCAGTCCAATGTTAGCATGCACTCATTTATAACTTTAAAACTATGAATTTCCTGTATGGGGTATGTGCTCCTATGTGTTGAGGATTTGATCACAGAACTGCAAAAGTAAAGTGCCGGACTTCGGTCCCAAGGGGAAAGTCTCTTGCCAGGAAGGAAACCGCTGCATTCCCAGTACCCTGAATAATAATTATTTGTTATCAAAGAGTCCTAGGGTCAAAAAAATGATCACAAATAATTCCTTATACAGTGTCTCATAGGGCTATGCTTTCTGTGTCACCCAGGGGACCTTATCACCTGGGGCTTGTGGTCTTTCTCCAAGCTTATTTAAATTATCAACTGAATAGAGCTCTCTACTTTCTTGAAGATGAGACCTATTTTGTTTCTATGTGATTAAAAAGGTTCCTCTGAACCTCCCTGTCCCAGCCTTTAGAATTCTTGAGTATGTGCTCATATTAAGATATCTGCTTATCTCCTAAGTCTACAAAGGAATATGATTCCTCCTTCTACTGGGAAAATTACCACCTGACTACCCATGATTATGTCCTGTAAAATGGTGGTTACAAAATTATTATTCAGAGTCTACCATGCTGTTTAAAATAATGTGCATTCTAGGCCTCTGCAAGAATCTGTTCAAAAGTCCATTTCATAATGTGTCTTTTCCACTTGATGAATATTTTTGCAAGACATAGAAGCACTCTTTATGACAGAAGAATAACAATCCAAACTATTGTTCACCTGTACTCTATTGTGATATAGACATCTCCCATAACCATCATTTTACAAAGTGTTACACTTTTCAAAAACTATAATTGATTTCAGGAAAACCAAAAATACAAATAGGAGCATTAAAACTTATGTGTCAAAAGTAGAAACACAGTTTTATCATCCAAATTGAGTAAGCTGCTGCCAAGCCTTCCATTACATTACTTTGTGGGGTCAATCCTTCTCCTTCAATAAGTCTTAGTCAATACCTAAATCTTCTAAAAACATCAGAAATGGTTGGCAGTAAGTCAGAAAACCAATCCTCATAATGAAACCTTAACAGTATCACTGTGAATTTGAAATTGGATGATCATTCTCAAGGTCTCTCTGTAGGCTGGCAGTTTAGATCCAAGGGCCTGTCTCTGGCAAAGGAAAATGTGGGCATGTTATAGTATATTCATTTGTGCTTTGTTTAAAGATAATTTCCCCAAATTTTGTTCTCTAGAACTTAATCTTATACTATCTTAGGGATATGATTGCCTTGAGGAAACACTGTTATCAAAAACAAGTTTTGATGGAAATTGTTCCCTTGACTTACACTTCCACATCACTGTTTATCACTGAAGGAAGTTATTGCAGGATCTGAATGCAGGGGTTGATGCTGAGGCCATAGAGGGATGCTGCTAACTAGCTTGCTTAGCCTCCTTTCTTATATAAGACAGTGCCACCAGCCCAGGGATGCCATAAGCCCAAATGGACTTGCTTTCTCTCATCAACAACTAATTAAGAAAAGTACTTATAGCCAGATCTTAAGGAGACATTTTTCTCATTTGAAGTTCCTCCCTTTCCAATGAGATAGCTTGTGTCAAGTCAACATAAAACTATCAAATAGGCATTCATACATTGGAAACATTACACTTTTATTTTTGGTTACATCAGGGACTTGGAGTTTGATTGTTGTGTATCAATATATATGCTAACCTCTGGGGAAAGCTAGTATGTTCAATGCATGGATCCATTGCTTCTACTTATTTTATTTTTCTATTTCAGCTTCTAGTATGCTCTCCAGGATGATGAGATTGCCCAAGAAGTAACCCTGCAAAGGACAACTATCACTCTATCTAAATTCAAGTAAGATATTATTTGTCAATATAATATAATCAATAAATTTGAATTAGTGAAAAGTTACTATTTTTTATATCCTTTACAAGATAGTTATTTTCTTGGATATTATACTTTTTGAAATGTCATTTGCTGTTTTGAAAAATTCATGGGATTTGGAACCTTATTCTTTTGTGGGAAAGACAGCAGTATTCTGAACATGCCCAGATTTTAGTCATAATGTACAATTGGATGAGTTTCTTGAGAAGATGATATTGGTTGTCTTTTGTTCTTCATACATATTATTTAGAGTAAAAGAAATAGCTGCTAGTTCTATATATGTGCACATGTGTCTGTAGCAGCAGTTCTCAACCTGTGGCTTACAACCATTGTAAAGCACATTTCCAATGACATTAGAAACTGAGACACTGTTCAGTAGCAAAATTGCCATTATGAAATAGCAATGAAAACAATTTTATGGTTCAGAATTACTACAATATGAGGAACGATATTAAAGGGTCACAGCATTAGGAAGTTGAGAAATACTGGTGTGTGGTATATGTATATAACTATATGTTTGTATTGAGTTTATGTGCACAGTGCCATAACTTGCATGTGTGTGTGTGTGTGTGTGTGTGTGTGTGTGTGTGTGTGTGTGTGTATGTGTGTGTGTGTGTATCTGCCTGCTTTAGTAGAAGGCAGCAGTTAATGCTGGGTGTCTTCCTCAGTTTATCTCCACTTAAATTTTTCAGATGGTGCAACTCTCTGAATCTAGAATTCACAGATTCAGCTAAGTTTACTTGCCAGTCAGCCTGGGAAAATCCCCTCTCTGCCTCTCCAGTGCTAAGATTATAGACACATACTATTGTGCCCAGATTTTTTTAGCATGCATTGTTGGGAGTCAACTATGTCCTTATGCTTATATAACAAGCCCTTTACTGACAGAAGCAATTTATTTAAAATCTTAAAACTTTCAATGTATGATTAGATGTCTCACCACTGATGTGAGGCATCTCATATCAGTATTCTTCTGTATGCTGTGAATATGTGTTGCTTTTTTTGGTTGATGAATGAAGATGCTTTGGCCTATTTCAGGACAGAGTATAGCTAGGCAGAAAAGCCAAACTTAAAACAGGGAGCAAGGAGGTGGGATGTAGGGACATACAGCTGTAGCCACTGGAAGAGAAAGAAGTCAAAGCATTACAATAACGAGCCACAGGCTTATTTTTATAACTCCTTTCTAAAGAAGTTAGACGTTGTTTCTCACTTATCATAATCTACATCTTCATTTTCTATACTATAAGTTATCTAAACTCCATTGCATTTCAAAATAATTTTCCAGAAATAAACAATTGGAGAATGTAAGAGGTATAGTCTTTTGAATGAGTACTTGTTCCGCCTTAGCAAAAGTCATCTCTTCCATCCAACATTTACACGGTGAATCATCAGATAATTAGACGTTCCAGTCATCTCTGTGATGAGCATGGCACTTGAGATATGAAAATATATGATAAAGTAGCATTTTTGAATTAATAGCTACAAATTAGAATAACACTGATGCTGATGATTTTATTAGACCATACACTCAAATGTTAATCTCTTGCTCTGTTTTATTTATTAATTCTACTTTATACTTATCTTGTATAGGACAAGTGGTATGCCTGAAGTATCATACATCTGTTGGCTTCCAGACCCATATTAAGACTGATGAGAAGTTAGAGCTGTAAGAATTATGAACAGGGAGAGGGAAGAATGAGTTGTAGGGAGAGTTGGGCATATTCTCTTGGTGACTATTCACATCTTCAAAGAACATTCTGACAAGTATAAAGAATAGATAACATTTTATTAATGGGATGGATCTCAAATATTCTTCCCACTTCTTGTATATTCTGAATGCACATGTGTAGGTTCTTCTCACATCTACTCATCTGCAAAACCAACCGTGTTTGGTTGGCTCCCATACAGTAATTAGTAGCTATTTGGCCAATTTGGCAATAGCTGTGCATGCTGCCTGACCTTTTTATGCTCATTGCTCTTACTGCTTGTTGAGAGGGTCACTAGTATCCTCAGCATCTTCCTATTGCCTAAACAAGATTATGCTGTGTATAAAATTTGATGTTTCCGTTCTATTTTCTCTGTTATTGGGGTGTTTGCAGCAATATATATTTTCTTTAGTTTGGCATGTCACAGTCTATTTATTCTGTTCATGAACCAGCTGTTCACAGAATATATTTTCCTTTTACCTATTTTCCACTGGAAATGTTCAAGTTTCTGCTCCTTATAGGCATATTAATGATTCTGAAAATCACTGGCTTTCCTGAAGAAAAAAAAATCTGAATTTGTAGCCTTTCTGGCTGGCTATTCATCTTCAATAAAGTGGCATAAATTCAATGCAAGCCAGTTTAGCTTACTTTTGTGAGTAATTGCCTTATGCAGCTATAAGCAAATGTGAGTGCTGGGTTCCAGAACCAAAATGTAAGCAAGTGTGAGTGTTACAGCTCTGGAGTTGCAAATGTGTCCTGATTTATCTTGAAGCTAGGCTATCTAGAGCTGCAATAGGACAGCTGTGGATGAGTAAGAGACACAATAGGGCAGCTTTGGAGGCAGGAGCCACAGTAGGTCATTTCAGCCCTCTAGAGGAAAGTGCCTTGACTTACTGGGAATCCAGGATGGGGGTAGTGGAGGATGATCTCCCCACAGGATGTATCAATCCTGCTCCTCTCCTAGAGAGGGCCTTTACTGCTGAGCTCCGCCTTGTCCCCCAAGGGATGGTCCTAGCAGGGCTCACAGCTTTTTAGGCCCTTCTTCCACTAGTCTGCTAAAGGGGGAGCCCCAGCAGAAATATGGAAATTTCCTCGGGCTCTAATGAAAAATTGTTACTTTTCTGCTACAGACTTGATCAGCCCCTTAAGGGAACACCCATGAAGTTTCTTCTGTTCTGTACCAGCACATGGAGATCTTCATCCAAGACTGTTTTGAGAAGGAGATTTATTTGGGAAGGAGGATTCGATGAGAATGACCACCTCTGCCAGGGTGAAGGACAGCCCACCACTGAACAGGAAGATGGAGTTATATAGGGCTTCTTCCGGGATTGAATTTGTGAGGAAAAATTAATAACTAAAAGATATGGGACTCATGGCAAGAAGGGAAAACCAGAAAGAACAAGAGTTTCTGCCAAAAGATATAAATAACTCCTGACTGGAGAGTGCAGAGCCCAGGTGCTGTTCTAGGGAAATAAAATAAGAAAGCAAGAGCCCGCCCCCCTTTGTCCCCCTCCACTGCCCCCATTATCTCAAGGACAAGCCCACTGAGCCCACAGGTCCTAGAGAAAGAAAACTCCCTAATCGTGCAGGTGTGCTAAACAATCCCGCTTTGTCAAAACTTTGTACTCTATGCAATCTCTGTAACCTTGGGAAACTTCTCGGCTGAGACTGGCAGCCTCAAACCTCCCTTTCCCTTTAAAAACGCTTCACAATTGTAAGCGGGCACCTTACTCTTTTGACAGAATGAGGTCCCAGCCAGTTCAGTTTTTAGCAATAAAAAAACCTTTTGCTTTTGCAACCTGGAATCACTTCCTTGGAGGTTGAGGAAACCCCAGGTAGGCAGAACAAGTTTACCCAGGGAGAAGTTTTTCAGCTCAGTAACAGGTTAGTTTTCCTGCTCAGGGATTGGGTAGTTTTGTGGGTCAGGGCAGAGATAGCTCTGATTCCAGGACAAACTGTTCCTTTCGCTGGTCCTTTTTAGCCATTTGGCTCTAAATTTAGAGCCAGGCAATATTTCTTTCACTGGCTGTGATTCTATGGACAAAGTGTGTTTGTTTGGCACTAGTTTCAAAGTCAGGGTGTTTTTCTTTGGTTCTGGGCCTAAGGATAAAGTTGCCCTCCCGGCCCCCACTGGCTCAGGTTTCAAATCCTGCCCCCCCCCCCACTGGCTGTGGGTTCAGTGTCAAGGAGATCAGGAATGGGTTGGTTTCCTGCTCAGGGTGCTCAGGGATTGGTTGGTTCTGTGTTTCAATTGTACAGGAGCAGAATTGGCTCTGGTGTCAGCTGGTCAAAGTGGACTGGCCCACTCTGGCTGGGCTCTTTACCCTACAGCATCCTCCCTCCCTCCCTCCCTCCCTCCCTCCCTCCCTCCCTCCCTCCCTCCCTCCCTCCCTCCCTCCCTCCCTCCTTCCCTCCTTCCCTCCTTCCCTCCCTTCCTCTCTCTCTCTCTCTCTCTCTCTCTCTCTCTCTCTCTCTCATCTTTCCTTCCTTCCTTCCTTCCTTCCTTCCTTCCTTCCTTCCTTCCTTCCTTCCTTTGTTTGAGACAGAGTTTTTCTGTGTCACTCTATAGACTAGGCTGGCAGAAAACTCACAGATCTGCCTAATTTCCTAATCTGTTGTAAACAACAGATGATGTAGCTTCCTGTTGACCTTATTGACTAAGGTTCCTATAGGTGATGAAGGTATAGCTGCTGGTCAGGTTGTCAGCAAAGAACTGAATTGTGCTTCAGCTTTTTGTTTTATTTTATACCCATGAAAGTTTAAAGACACAAACCTTTGTTTCTTACTGCGACCTCAGGACTTCCAATTATTTCAAAACACTAACATTGTAACCCCCCCCCCAAAAAAAAACTAAAAAACAATGAGCAATGGTAACATATTCATAGTTATTTTCTCAACTAACATTGTAAAAAAAAAAAAAAAAGGTTTTCTATCAAAATTGAACACATCGTCTATATATAATTTTAAGCATGATTATTATTTCTCGCCCAGAATTTGTTGTAGTGGACTTTCTGAACATTCATGGTATTTCTTCCCTCATTTAGCAGATTAATCTAGGCTACTTTGGGACTTGTTAAATTCCACTCCTCTTAGTAAAAAAGAAATTTCAAAGAGGAGGTCTACACAGGTAACTTACACCGACAGTCTTTGGGAACAACAACGTTCTGTATAAATAACTATCCATAGAGCTTATAAGAAAATCTTTAGGTCATGATCACACACTTGATAATGTAGGAAAAACAACTAAAAACTGACATTTCCCATTTT